AGGAATGCCCCCCCACCTGGCAGCACCAGTGAGCACCGGGGCTTTTTTTAAAACGTCGGGAGCTGGGGCGGTTGGGGCTGCTATTGGGGGACTGGAGGAGCGGGGGGGAGTCGAGGAGGAGCTGGGAGAGCAGGCAGGGGATGGGGGCTGACAGGAGTTCCCCCATGGTCCCTCCCCTGTCCCTAGTACTTATCAGCTCTGAGTTCTGCTGCACCTCCCTGCTGTAGCCCCTGGGGACTGCCCAAATCATCAAAGCTCTCCGAATCTTTTCCAAAGATTCGGAGAGCTTTGAATTGATTTGGACCTTTTAATTGGTCCCCTGATTCGATTTGGAGATTCGGCCACCGAATTGGGCCGAATCTCCTCCAAATCGAATCGCCACCCAAGCTTTGCACAGCCCTAATATTTATCTAGATTCTTTCTTGCCTGATTTATTTGACCAATTCCCCTCTGGTGCAGTACCCTTCTTCTACCTGCACCAACACCTCTTCCTGTCTCTATGCTTCTCTGCTTAATTCACATGGTGTCATCTGGTGGTCTTGTGTGCTGAAGTACATAAGTGATTGTGTGCTTGGACAGCAGGGGGAGTTTTGAGTTGATCCCCAGATGGTCATAATTTATTTGTACAGTGTAACCTCACCCAAATTCAAACGAAATAATCTATAAGCGAAGGCCAATAGACTTCTGCATGCCTTTTACTTATTTCCATGTTTATTTTCAGGGTTTAATTGTAATACATTTAACAGGTGTTCTCAGTAACAGACAAACATTTAGTTGCCATGAGACGTGAATGCCCAGACTGGTGGCCAATGAAAGAAAAATGAAGGACAACATGCAGAGAGGTTTCTCTTGGTTGTAGAATAAGAAAATGTGTTTATGCTGCCAAGCTGTCACATTTAAGAGGTTTATCAAATGTATTTAAAAATAGAACTTTTTTAGTTAAGAGAAACATACATATCTGTTCAGGTACTTTAAGCTTCAACCAACCAATCAGTTACAGCAGCAAGAAGTGATTTTAATTAATGTGAAGGCTCTGATCTTGCAGGGAGGTTTGTATTGGCAGACTCTACTTAATTTCACAGGAGCTCTCATGTATTTAGGGGAATCCAATGGAATAGAACGCATTGTGCAGTTGGGACCTAAATCCTTAGTTTATTTTGTTTTTAAAGGAGGGGAGAAGGGAGAAATTCCAGCAGACAAGAGTACCTAAATTGGTGATTTTCAACCACTAGTAGCCCTTGAGGTACCCTGAGTTCCTTTTAAGTGGTAACACTGTTAAGTGAGCAGACATGATTCACAAGATAAGCCCAGCATTTTCAAATAGGAATCCATAGTGTTAAAAACATTCTGATTTGTTGTGGTCTTTTTAAGTTATTTGTAAGAGAATAATTACTCAATTTTTCTGCACTCAAGGAATGAGTGAAGGCAAAAACTTGGCATTTCCTGAGGGGTGCCTTGATTTTAAAAGGGTCGAGAACCACTGCCCTAAATCAACTTTAAAAAGTGATAGGATCATTCTGATACTGTTGTAGCTAAAAGGTGTATAGCAATAAAATGATTACTGCGCTCTCAGGATACTGAGTAATGAATCTGTTTATTAAAAATCGTAAATATTTTCTAGGTAAAAGTGCTGTTTTGAAGTGTCTGCTGGATATTCACAAGATTTTTCGAGAAAATGACCCTGCCTACATCCTTAATGATCTCTACATTTCAGACTATTGTATTTGGATTCAAAAAACCAAGTAAGTTGTAAGCAGTTTTTTTGGTTCTTACCTCATTTTTACCAGCGTTGATAATTTTTAATTTAAAATGTTGATGATGAAAAGAATCCTTAAAATTCCCTGATTGAACTTACTTACCTTGCTTTTCATAACAGGCCAAAGAAAGCTGCTTTATTTTTATTGGTAATAGCAGCAGCAGTAGAAGATTTGCTTTTAGATAAAAATAATATTTGAAAAATCTGTGGTCTCCAAATATGAGAGGGGGATTTTTCTAGGAGTATTTTAAAGCTGCCCAGAAATCAATAAGCTTTTTTTCAAATGGAATTAAAATGATTAAATAACATTCATGTAACATTTAGAAAAAGTTTGTGGCAACTCATACAGAATTTTAATGTGTTTTTAATGTGCTGTTAATATGAACAAGCTATTTGCACATACACAAAACAGTTGACCTGTGTATTTTACAGGAGGTGGTGGTGGTGGTACTGGTTGCTTACAACTTCCAGAGTAAGGCTGGAAACAGACATTGTATCACCATAAAACTTTTTATGGCAGCCCAAAGGCCAAAAAGACAGATATCCATGCCCCTTGTTTTGTCACAAATACCCAAAATTTGTTAGTGCAACATAGGTGGTATAAAAGTGTGCCACTTTTTTGCAGCAAATGTGTTCCTGCATTTGTAGAGAAAAGGAAATCCCTTGCTAGGGAATTCCTGGAGCACGTGTCTGTCAGTAGGGAACCTGGGGTTCCCCTGTTCACAGTTATCCCACAGGATTGGGCCCCTGAATCCTTGGGAACAGCACGGTCCTGACCCTGCAGGACAACAGTCAACATCTGTATAGCCCAGTGAAGCAGATAAGCTGTGTTGGGACACATCCCAGCACAGCTGCTCCACTTTACTTGGCGACCTCTGTTTATAGCATAAGTCACAAATCATAGGCTTAATAGTGCCTTATACTGGTTAGCAGTCAAGAAAATAGCATTCTCTTGGGCTAGGGACAGAAATGGCTCACAAACCTGTGTAAGTGATCGGAAACCAGTTCAGATCTGTAACGCAACAGAAGTTCAGTGCACATAAACCACTTTCAAAATGGCTGAAGCTGGTTTAAGATAAACCTGGATAGATATAGTGTCAGACTTAAATGATTTAGGTTAAGTAGTTTATTGAACTTCTGTCCCAGATCCCTTCCAGATTCAAGTTAACTCACAGTCCCCCAGCATCCCAGAATGCTTTGCACCTCCTATGCAAATCCCCCCCCCCCGCCCCCTGCCCCTCTCATGTTGGGTGGGCTAGCCTTGTCCCAAGCTGCCTGCTCCAGCTGAGCAGCGAGGCAAGCTCTAGCATCCTCCTTCTTGTGGCCTGGGCTGCTGCAGGCATGTGGCTGCATTTCCAGAATCAAAAGTAAATGACTGTTCATTTACTTATCGGTTCAATCTACTGAGCTTAGACTAACCTGTGAAGATTGAATCGATTCAGGCTCGGGCTTTGTGACTCTCTGTACTTAGCTTTGGTGTGTGTGTCAAACTCACCTCTAGCTACTGCCACTGCACATTCAGCTCTCATTCGTCTTACCTTTCTCTCTAGACAGGGCTCTCTAATGGTTTAGTGTCCATTTAGTCCTAGGCTTCAGCTTGGGAAAAATGAGTCTCTTAGCCTGGCTGGAGCCAGACAGGTGGCCATTTTCCAATTAATAGCTTCCCTGCTTTTCTGCTGAGGATCCTTGGTATTTTGTCTGGAGGTATTTCACCTCTGCTGCTGTCCCATTTTCTAGTTTTGTTCCTCCAACAACCATTTGTAACTCCATGCAGCCAGACAGAATAATATCAAGTAGTTAGACTGAGCTGCATGTCATACTCATAGAAATAATACAGTGATCTCCCACATTCTTCACAGAGGGTTTTAACACAGGCACTGTTGAAGAGCAGCCTGTGTAGGTTTATTGGTTCACTTGGTCCTCTGCCTGCGTCTCACTACACAAAAGGCCCTGCAGGGCACTGCTGCGTAAGTGCCTCAGTTGCTCCATGTGTTTTGGAACAATAGTGGTTGTAAGATGTACCATGCATGGCTTTTCCATGAGGGAAGCCTTATTACCATCAGTACAGTAAAATGATATTGCAGTACTATACAAGATAGTACTATATTATTATAACTTGATAGTGATAGTCTAAAATCAATGTCTACATTTTAGCTTTTAATTTGACATAGATTCACAATACATTTTATTCTCTGAATCCATACCAATCACAACAAGCAGAGAAGGGGTTAAGGCAGAGAGAACTGGACAAGGAGCAGGCACAGAAATCTCAAAGAGAGTTTTTATTTTATATACAATGTGAGTCCAGCTTTAATGGGCTGCTGATGATACGTAAAGGTCCACCTCTACAAAATATGAGCTCGTGATTTGACATCACCAGAATTTCTTAATGAATGACTGCTAGTTCAATGCTGCTTGTGACTAATTCTGTGCGTTACTTGATTGCTTATTCATTTGTTCTTTTGTGTACTTTTAAAATGATTGATTATACTCCCACAGTTAACAGTGCTAAAAAAGTCCTGATTTTGGTGTAAAAGACCTGGTACATTGAAATAAGTCTAGTTCGGTCCAATTATTCACTTTTTCCATGAGCATAGGCCAATACTCTAGGATAGTCATTGGAAAATTCATCAGCAGATTAGAAGAAAGTATAGTAAATGAAGATAGAGAAAGCTATTTTGTGTCTCTTCCTTGAAGAAATGAGTCATATGAGAGCTATATTGTTCCTGTCCATGTCAGCGAATATAACATCTAGCAAGCAAGTCATCAGAACCTAGATCGTCTTTGACTACAGCGAAGAAATTGTAGGGTAGATATAAGTGACTGATAGATTAGCGCATTTGCTGCAAGATACATACATTAGGTACCAGTTAAGCAGAACTGACATTCTCTGGAAAGCAGGCAATTAAGCTGTCTTACTATCATAACGACATGGCACAGTAGTTACCTGACATTAGATGAGCAAGAGGAAGAGGAGCTGCAGAATTCCTGTCCTATTTTTAGGCTTTAAATCAAGAAAACATTTAACCACAGGCTTATGTCCTTCCCTATTCAGGATGACATGGAGCTATGTGCTTGAATTTAAGCATTGGCTGAAGTACTACTCTGAAAAGAGATCCTTTTTGTAGATCAGGGCATAAATGTTTTTTGACTCACTGCGGAGAATTGAAGTCCACCCCTAATTATGGAAAATATACTGAGGAATCAGAAATGGGCATTGGCCCATGAGCAGGCATTCTCACACTTTTTCACTTTGTGGGCACCACTTCTTATTAGAATGAGGATATGGGCCCCATCCCTCCCATAAACGATCATAGGGCGTCCTTTTGGTAGCTCCAGCAGATGCTTAACACTGAGAAGGGTTCTGAGGGGGAAGCAGCTACAATAGTTTTAGCAGTCTCTAATATATTAAATGTTTTGTCTCTTGAAATGCGCCAATGATTCCATCTACTTTTGCTCTTCATTTTATTGTTTCTTCTACTGGTTAGAGGAAGGTTAGAGTCTAACCTGTTCTTTGCTCTTTGGGAAATACCGTTAAGCTGTAGTATTCCCTCCTTCTCTTGGGTGCTTCTCTCTTCTTGCAGCTGGTAGCGTCAGTCCCGCAGGTGGTTCTGAGTCTGTGATGGCTGCTTTGTTGCCTTTCATTTTCTGATGTGCCAGCAATTCCAAGTAAAGGCTGAGTCCTCTTTCTTTCCATCAGCCTTTTTGGGTTTGCAGGCTCCTAGGTACAGCTAAGAACCTGGACACACAAACACAGCTCTGTTTAGCTTCCTACACTAGAGGCAACAGTTTGGGAGTTGCAGGTTAAGAACAAACTTTTATTTGATGGCACTAGACACGATGTTCTGGAGTTGAGCTTATGGAAAGTTTCAAGTTTAGGGCCCTATCCACAATATAAGGACACTGCGTGTATGTACCAGTCTCATCTGATCTGGTTACGTCGGAATTAGAATTGTGCTCACAGTGCAGCTTTTCTGATTGTGAGGCAGGGATAAATATGCTTGCATGTCTCTGCCGACCGTGCAATGTGATTTTGTTTGTACCGTGTTTTCTGAGTGGAAATATGTGCCCAACAGCCACCAAGAGCACTTGAGATTCTGTACTTTGGTGTGTCCTACTGTGCAGGGCTGGGAAGGTGGATTAGCTCAGCTGGATGCAGAAATCCTGTTAGGTAAAGGATTCCTGCAGCACTTGCAGTGGTGACGGTGAGGAAAGCGTGTGTTGTAAGTAAAAAAAAAAAAAAAAAAAAAAAAAAATTATATGCCAAACTAGGCCACTCAGATGAGCCTAATTCACCCAGCACTGACTCTGGAGAGGGGTTCACGAAGGATGCTTGATTTTGAACATAGCAAATGTCATGTTTGAAAATAAGCCGTTGAATGGCAGTGTGGAAAGTGCATGGTTAATGGTCAGTTGGGTTTGACAAAGACTATTTAGTTGTTTTTCCTTAGATTAGCAATTTCCAGGCATTCTGATAACATATGGATGTTACATGTGTTACTTTTCTGTCATTTGAATGTCTCAGCTGGTGAAAGACATCGTCAGATGCAGCCTAAATTCCATCCTGCTCAGTACTTTTTTAACGAATGCCACCAAGTTGCTTGTTGATTTAATGTAGTAATTGCACGGAATATTATAGACGCTGACATAAATAAGTTTTGGTTTTTAATTTTCCCATTTGGTTGTGGGGGAGGCAGCATATTGCTCAACTAAGCTAAACAAAAAGGGAGGAGAAACAAATATGTTGACCTAAACGACAGAAACTACATGAAGAACAGTGGAGGCAGCTGAGAGTGAAGCTCGGCAGGTGGTGTCAACATTTATGTTGAAAAGCCAGATGCAGCCAGATGGAAAATTGCATCTTTAACCCCTGAGGTCATAATGGCATGTCATCACTTCATTTGATCCCTCTGCTAAGTGAGCTTATCATCCACCCTGCTGTCATTCCTGTTATTACTTTCTTTTCCATAATAAAATTAAATTTAA